CTGATTTTCACTGGCAGAAAATAACCCATTACTATTAACCATTAGTTCGAAGAAGAGCTTTCCATTCCATTCAGCCAACTGACTTCGATGACGGGAAAGTTCTATCGGTTACTGTCGCACTACTGACTTTAGCCAGGCTGGCTTCCTTCCTCGCTACATCTATTATAAGCTGGAAGAGGTCGCCCTCCCGACATCTTGCTGGATAATTTCATCGTTCTAACAGATTAGCCGATTTCCGAACCTATGGCTACGCCTTCTGATGTACCGCCTAGTGAGATTGGTCGTGATATTTACAACAGGAATCTTTCCCTCGTTTTTCTGCGCAAGATTAAGTAATGATGACACTACAGGCAAAAGTCTATGCGCTTTTAAGGAGAGGCGGAAATAGTAACTCTTGCACTATTAGTGTTCACCGGTCTTCATAAATCGTAGGGCGGAAAGAGGGCATTACATTTGGCCACGGAGCCCAGAATTATAGTCCTGGTAGACGGTCGTACAAGCGACACAACCATTGTGAAAAGAACACTAGGGCAGACGCCTCTGACTTATTTATTGGCATCGGGCAAACCCATCCCGACCGCACACACTTGTAAGACCCGAGAGTCGGGCTTGAAACTTTAATGAAAAAAACACACGGTCATGACCTTTCGGCTGCGATAGAGGACACTCAATGGCCTGAAGAACTAGTTGGATTATGACGTCCATGGAAAAAAAGCCAGATATCGTTTGCCTTTTCTCCTTAAACTTGGTTATTAAGGCTACTGACTATAAATTTTTCTTAAACATATGACATAATCTGAGAGTTCTCGACGGAAGACACGGGAGAAAACAGAACACTTATATTGTGTCTGTAATCGCCATAGAGAGGTGTATGCCACTTCCAAGCGACTTTTTGGGGGAAATTAGCGTTCGGTTTCTGTTTTTGGGCTGACAGCTATTCTTGCAAAAAATAATTTATGGATATTTGATCAGCCCTCTTTTAGTATTTTAGAGGCAGTGCTTGAACAGTAATTCGCAGGTAAGTTTTCTGAGGGTGGTGGATACTAAGTCCCACCAGTGTGAACACGACAGCATTTTAAGAGGCTAGTTCTTGGCTGTCTCTATATAGTGAATGCGACGCCAAGGCAGTCTTACCGTAGGGTTCAGCTACATTTCGAAGAATGCTAGAGAAATAAAAAAGCTTAAATAATTTTAGTAGTGTCATAGCATTTAAGGATACAGGCTAAAGTAGGTGGCAAGTTATGAGGGAACAGGTGCTTCTAAGGTTGAAATTTAAAAATACTACTGGGTCCGATGCAGATTACTATACCGGTCAATTAGAAAGCCCCTGTCATTGCTAGACCACATCAACTAAGATGACAGGGCTTCGAGTTTATATATGCGAAAGGCAACCGAAGTTAATTCTGTTAAATATAACTTGAGAGGTGTGCAGAGGACCATATAATAATTTTTCGTATCGCGATGGAAATCTTAAAAAAAAACAAACAACATAAAATACACTAATATCAACAAAAACTGCTGAAAGCGATGCACAGTCCTAAAAATGAATGACGACTTACTTGACTCATAGTCTGCTCGCTGATAGACATATCCTCGCTCTTAAATCCAACACGAGAAGCCAAAGCGGTAGAATCACACTCCAAAATAATTCTAAAAGACGGTATGACATGTAACGTTCTTTACCCTCCATCGCATAGCTCATCAACAGCTAGGAAGACGAGGTCCAGGTTGTCCATTAAGGGTCTTTTCTCGATGTTACCTCTCAGAATATGACTAATAGAGTCGTGAAGACAAGTAAGGGCACTCATTAATATAAGCTGAAAAATGACTCGCTTATGTGACAAACCTCGTTCTCATTGGCGTCGCCAATTACATAAAAGAAGACGTCAGATGAACTTCTATGAACACAGTTTGCGCCCTCGAACAAAGTTATTTCAGCTACAGTAAAATGAGGAATGTGAACCAACCATAAGAAGTTTTGTTTGTCTTGCTAAAGAGCTTCTTCTCGAAATCTAACTGAGCCTTTAACGTCGGGAATGTGTTGTCGTAATACTTTATACATAAGTGAAAGATAATTTCAAACCTTGGCTAGAATTCGTTTCCCGTCACTGTCCAAGATTAGAATGGCTTTGATGGCGTACAAAGTGGGTTCCTAAAAAGGATATAGAGATTAATTTGAGACATACACGCACGGCTGGCATTGCTGGAGGTAATTCAATTACTGTGTGCTAATTTAAGTTATTTAAAACTCAAATAGGATTATTCAAGATTGGTGGTTGTCTAAGTTTGCCCCCAGGAAAAAATATATTCAAGATCCCAAATGCATCTGCAGAGTTGAATAATTTTCTGAAAGATTCATAGCGTAAATTGAGCTGAACTTACCACTTTTGCTCTTGATAGGAGTCTAAGGAACAAGAAGATATGGGCAGAACATGCAGCAGATTGAGGACTATCCAGTTGAAGCACTGAATTGACGAAAATTGGAGTTTGATAGAACAAAGATGCTGAGGAGTAGGTCAGCAGCGGGTTGATAAATGCAAAAATGCGCATTAATAAGTCAGTACTATCTGAGGATCATTAAAAAGTTAGAATCTCACAGAAAGCCGATAAACATTTAATCGAGATTCCATAAAATAAGCGGTAGTGAACCGTCCCTCACAAACCCTTTTCGAAGGTCGCGATATCTACGAAGAAAATTAAGCGACTGAAAAAGTCCCAGCTGTTTAAGAAAGATTGTATCTAGGAATTGTTTTAACAACAGCAATATATGCGAGTATGCAGGCTATACAGACATATTTAGGCATCACAGATCCAACAAGCAACGGAGGTACAGGCAGTTTTTCGGCCTTAACGTAAAAATACCCTCTATAGTTGGCGGATCAAAGAATCGAAAGTAATCCAATTTGGACGAAGAAATACAGGCCATGCATTCCGGCATTAAGAAAATATAATTTGGCGGATTTCATTTTTGAGTTCAAAATCGGCGAGCAGATCCCTTGGTCATATTTCACTAACACCGCAATTGCAAAACAGGAATATATGAGAAGATGTAGCAGTAGTTATAGCTGTGCGTTGTCATAACAAAGAGGTTATCAAAACTTTCTTACTTGAAATTTTTACGGTTTTGATCATGCCTGATCTAGCCGGCCTCAATGATGTCACGGACGGTACCTCTCC